TGGGCTCGCTTGCAATATTTGTGCATTTGTTCTGTGTGGTGAGTCACTGTCTCTAGATATGGGCTTCTTGCGATGTTTGTGCATTTGGTCTGTCTGGTGAGTCACTGTCTCTAGGTTTGGGCTCGCTTACAATGTTTGTATTGCGATGTTTGTGCATTTGGTCTGTCTGGTGTGTCACTGTCTCTAGGTATGGGCTCGCTTGCGATGTTTGTATTGCGATTTTTGTCCATTTGGTCTGTGTGGTGAGTCACTGTCTCTAGGTATGGGCTCGCTTGCTATGTTTGTACATTTGGTCTGTGTAGTTAGTCACTGTCTCAAGGTATGGGCTTGCTTGTGATGTTTGTACAATTGGTCTGTCTGGTGAGTCACTGTCTCTACGTATGGGCTCGCTTGCGATGTTAGTACATTTCGTCTGTATGATTCACACTCAATGAAGCAATAATTCGCACTCTTACGCGATCTACTTGGCCACATCGGTTTGCTTGTCCTCGATTTTCGTCTTCATATGTTTGGTAAACATTCAAGCGCTCTCTCGAATGGTCTGTCTGCCACTGTCGCTCGCGCTGTGATAGCTATAGCGTAGGTTTACGATCTGGTTGAATTGTTAATATTAGCTGCCGTTCAACTAGCATGTGCAATAGGGTCTCCATAGAGCTCAAATGTAAGTGGGATTGCTTTAAACGAGCAAGCCAGTTGTTGAAGACATGGCTGAGTGTTCCATTCGCCAACCACCTGTGTATTCTGCATCCAATTATACCTGAGTTACCTATATATCAACATGCATATCCATATCCATATGCTTATACATGCACATGCACTCGGCAAGTCTGACCAATATCCCTCTTTTCCTATCTTCTTAGTAGCGTTCTGTATGCAAGTGGCCGATCTGGCCCCATTGTCGGGACTACAAAACCTGCGCCGATTAGATCTAGACTTCTGCAGGGGTATCAAGGACCTATCTCCCATACAGAATCTACCCAAACTGGAGTCTTTGAGGTAAGCGTTTAATGAGAGATTTGTGAGCTACTCTCGACATATATACATAGTGCAATTAGGAATGGCTTACTGAAAATAATGCTCAAATATTCACGTTGTAGTCAATACTCGCTAAGTACAAGTCGATCCCATTCTCACACAATACTACAGTACGGAGGGGCTAGGGCCGGGGTTGATCAGAGACGCCTTCGGACCACAGAGACCAAACAGCGGCTCGTGGGGTGCTCGTGCCTGGGCCAAGCTTTTCCCAGCGGCATGATCCTTGATGTGAGTCCTCTTCTACGGTTGTAGAGTGCACCAAAGCAAGGCACAACTAAGAGAACAGGACTATGTCTACAATATTGCACCGCTAGAATTACTAATGTGCCGAGATATCAAGATAAAAGGTGATTCGCGGTTTTGATACGTGATGCACCATATCTATACACATCCGTGACACGCGCTAGCTGTAGCCGTACGGTTGGTGTCCAGTTTGTGGGCACAATGTCACAATGAGGTACTGTGTATTGTCTAACAATTCATAGGCAAATGAAATGACATAAATACTTAACCCTTTGAGCAGGCAGCGTACTCAAAACCTCAGTACGGCATATTTCAAATGCTAAACAATTACACATTTCAATCACAGTCCTGCCAATGTGCTGAAATTTATCAAGACGCAAATTGGAAGTGCTTATATTACTCATTTGCAATACACATATGTACGTCCGGCACGCGATAGTCATGTGGCTGTTGACCACAGAATAATAAACATACCATCAATATATATATATTTATATGTCTTACTTCAGTATAAATATATAAATTTAATATGATGTATATCTACAGATATACAAATGTGTATATGTATCAGTACATGTATATAGATATATATATATATATATTTAAATTTATATATATATATAAATATATATATATATACAG